TTCGAACGTTTTTGTTTTCGGAAAACGTTCGAATTATGATTTTTATGAATAACTCCGTTCCATTCCAGAAGTGGAAAAACAAACAAACATCTTCGATGTGAGCGATTTTTGTTTGTTTGTTTTTGTTTATCTTTGTAAATCTGTAAAAATTATTCCACCATGAATCATCAGATTTTTTTGGAAAGAAGAAGAAGAGAAGATAAAAATAATCTGCAATATCATTGTCATCGGCAACAACAATGGCTGGCACCGACAATGACAATAAAAAAAATTTTGTTACATCAAAAAATGCTAAGCTAAGAAAAAAAAAGTTCCAGTTCAAAGACATTTTTCCAAAAAAAAAGATCGACAGAAAATGAAATTAAGAGATTTTTTTCTTGTTGTTGTTGTTGAAATTTGTCAAGTATGTTTTTGTGTAAACACCTTATCTTTAAGATAATTTGACTGACATTTTTTTTTTGTCGAAAAATGATGATGATAATGATGATGGTGATTATTATTACTTTTTTTTGGCCCATTGATTGATATTTCAATCGGAAGAAAATATCATGACTGAATTTTTTTTTTGTTGTTATCAATAAAATGGCCTACAAAATGTTAGTTTAATTTGGTCGGTTTGGTTGATTAGTATATGATTCATAATTTTTTACGTTTGATAAAATTGATTTTCAATCACATGTTTAACGGCGATATAATAATAATCATTTACTTTCCGGACATTTTTCCATCATCATCATTATAATGATGATGATGGGCGAATAAGAAAAATATCGATGACTATCGATAGTCGAATGATTATGTTTACTGGTAAATAATAATCATCGACTATCGAATAATTGCATATGGAGAGAGAGAGAGAGAGAGATCAAATTATTGATCAAATTGAATTAACATTTCCAGACAGAAATCAATCGATTGATCGATCGATCGATTGATAATTATCATTGGATATCAATCAACAATATTGGTGGAAATTCAAATTTTTTCAATGTATTTCAATCTTCATTCATTCATTCATT